AAATGAAGTTCTTAGCAATGCATGTTAATAATCAAAAAATAAGTTTGGATATATTTACGGTAGGAAACTTACAGAATATCTTCATGGAACATGATCTTTACTTAATATCCTAATGATTTTTGGCATAAAAGAAAAATGTATAATTTTGACCCATACAATGTATTGTTGGCTATTGCTACAAATATACCCCAGCGACTTAACACTGCTTTTGTGCTGCAGGAACACATTTATGAAAATACATCTCTGAAAAAAAAAATTTACATTTTAAATATATAAGGCATTAGCTGTATTATATATAAATGGAATATATAAAAATGAAATTAACATTTTTAAATAAATCATAAAAGCACTTTTATGGCACTATATATTTTTCATAGATGCATGTAGATAGCGAGAGTATTCATTGTATACTTACAAAATATTTTATATAACTTTAAAGCTATCAAATGATTATATTTGATAACTATAATGGATATATATTTCATACTCAAGCAAGCATCACACAGCTATAAAATTCAAGTTTGGTGGTTAATATTAAATTACATGATTTTTTTGGGTTTGGTTTTTCATTATAAAATACAGGAACAAGAAAAGATCTGAACAGCATTTAATTTAACTCGTTTGTTTTCCATAGACTCATAGATCATATTTAGCATGTTAGCTATGTGGAATAATCGAAGCAGACCAGCTGTTGTTCAGAGAGAATGTTTATTATGAATGCATGTCTCTGAGTTAGGGCTGGTTTAGGAGTTGGCGTTGGGGCCCTTCTTCTTGCCGAAGGTAGGAACCACGTTCACGAAGCGCCGGTTGTACTGGATGCGACGCTTGGCGCGGCCCGTCTTCTTCTTCTTCTTCTCCTGTTTGTCCACCTACAGACAGACAGAACATCAGCAATACTTCTTCTGTCATAGAGACTATAGGAAACGCATTTAAATAAATAAATAGACTTACTTTGGGTGTCTGTCCTCTTACTTTACCGGCGCGAGCCAGAGATCCGTGGACTTTACCTGATCAACACAGACACAAACCACAGCTGAACATCAACCACAAGAACTAATGAGAGAATCACACAACCCCAGAAACATCAGCAGAGCCTTTGAGACCATCCAGATATTAATATTAAAAAAAAAAATATATATCAAAAACGTATAAGAAATACCTCCCAGAAGTCTAGCGAGCACCTCGATTGTGCAGTGCTCAGTGACGCCGCAGTTCAGCAGCTCAGCATCGTCCTCCAGCGGAGCTCCAGCCAGCAGAAGAACCTGCTCCTCCACAGACAGACCCTCCAGAGCCTGAACACGAGCCTGCAGACACCACACAACATCACACATCTCATCTCATCTCATCACCAGACTCCCGCACACGGCTGCGAGGCTCACCTTGACGTCACGGACGGTCTCGAGTCCGGACACTTCGAGCGAGTGCAGAGTCTGAGCGCGCAGGAACAGCTGCATGATGAGCTGCAAACACACACAAACCAGATCCGCTTCAGTCAGACCTCACCGCATTCTCACTGCAACTATTATTATGTTACACACAACTTTAAAACAGACATATTATGCCCCTTTTTACAATATGTAATATAAGTCTCTGGTGTCCCCAGAATGTGTCTGTGAAGTTTCAGCTCAAAATACTCCACAGATCATTTATTATATCATTTTGAAAATGCCTATTTTGAGTGGAAGCAGAAACACGCGGTTTTTCGTGCCTGTGTCTTTAAATGCAAATGAGCTGCTGCTCACCATTCACACACAAGTTTACGTTAAAAACACACATGAGTTACAAAAACAGTGGGTTATGTCTGTGAAGGTAAACAGCTGGGAAATAAATCACATGTTTATATTAGATCTGTGTGGCAGCAGCAATATACAGTAAATAAATCAATAAATGCACTGCTCTGTTGTCTCTGAGGCTGGGACTCTAAACAGTGTTCTGTGCTCGTCTGTGCAGCCAAACACAGAACAGTTAGCATGCTTTGCTCAAACTTTCATCATGGCGTTAGAGCTAGCGCACCGCTGTCGCTTGCGAAAACACGGCGTCATGGGTGTAAACTTACAGATTAAGGGGCGGTAATATTATAATGAAATCCCTTTGCAACATCACTAGGGGAGCGAAATCAGACGCGCTCGTTTTGTTAATCTTTTTCACGTTTCCTTGGTTGGTAGATGCACCGGGGACCTGATTATAGCACTTAACACCTGGAGAAGTCAGATTTTCGTGATATGTCACCTTTAAATGATAAATGCCACACTTTTCAATGTTAGTTGTAACAATTTTAAACATTATTTGTAACCATTTTAAGTTATTTGTAACATTTTCAAATGTTAAACAATTTTAAGTTAAAAGCAACAATTTTTAAATGTTGAACAACTATTTTTTTTAAGTTAAAAGCAAGTTTTTTTAAAGCTAAAAACAATAAAAGTTAAATGCAACAAGTTGAACCCAAAACAATTTAACGTTAAAATCAGCCATTTTTAAAGTTAAAGCAAAAAGTTTTACATTTTAAACTATTTTTTTTAAAGTTAAAAGCAACATCTGTTTTTCGTTTTATACGCAACAATTTTTTTTTTTAAGTTAAATGCAATTTAAATGTTAACAAAGTTTTTAAGGTAAAAGCAACAATTTTTGAATGTTAAACGCAAGTTTTTTAAAGCTAAAAACATCTATTTTAAAATGATAAACGCAACAAATTTTTCAAGTTAAAACAATTTTTTAAAAGTCGAACCCCAAACAAAGTAAAGAAAAACAAAACAAAAGCAACAATTTTTAAATGTTAAACGTAACATTTACAATTAAAAGCAAAACGTTTAAAATTTTAAACTATTTTAAACAATTTTTTGAAGTTAAAAGCAGAAAGTTCTAAATGTTAAACAATCATTTTTAAATGTTAAAGCAACAATTTTAAACTTAAAATGCAATACTTTTAAATGCTATTCATCACAATTTTAAATGTAACAATTATGGTAAAGCGGTAAATGGAACGATTTGAAATGTTAATTGTAACATTACAGTATTAAGAACAAACACTGAGAAAAAAAAAAGTTTATATATTAAAAAAAAATAAGCTTCGACAACAAAAGGCATGGCTTTCTTTCCCTGGACCGCGTGTTTTCTGGCGAATCTCTCGCGACTTTCGGTCTCCGCTAAACGATGGACTCTGTAAGTGTTTGTCCGCATCAGCCGCTAACATCACGTTTAATCAGTTAATTAATTAATTATTGAATCTCTCTGTGCTTCAGGAGCGCGAGGGAAGCACGCGGAGCGAGACACAAACGCACAGAAGAGCCTCGTTCTGCCGGATTTCTGCTCGGGATCTGAATGTTAAACACGGTAACGCTTCTCACAGCGGCTCGTGCGGCATTAAAGCAGATTAAAGCCGCTAAACGCGACACAGAAGTGGTTTAATCAGAGGGCCTTACATCAGATGATGCTTGTCGATCCACAACCGAACGAGGAAAGGACAGCGCGCATGCGCGGAGCGAGGAACTCTGGGAAGAGCGCTGCCCACGTGACCGTGACGTCAAACAAGATCATTTTCACTCAATAGAAATTAACTTTATACCTTATATTTCTAATAGTGGTAGCTTGGTCCCTCATTTTTAAACAATTTTACACCTCACTCGTATCTAATCTGGAATAATAAGAATCTACTGTATAAACAAATATATATATATATTTTTTTTTAATTGGTTTAAAAATTGTATTATTTTTGTGTCTCAACTTTGCAATCTGTGCCTTACGTAATCTCTTACTGCAATGGTTTTGTAACTGATATTCCCTGGAAGAAGGTTTGGTCATCACCTCACAAATATTTAATTACTAACAATATGAGATAAATTACATTTAAGCTGATTGATAGTTTCCCCGCATAAGTGCTCTCTTAAGACTTAAGAGTGATATTAATACCAACTGTTCTTTCCGTTTAGAAAACCCTGAAACTTATTAACATTAATCTGGAATGTTAAAAATAACATTATGAATTTGCCACTTGTGTGCACAATGCATTATGTAATCATTTATTTTCATGCGAAAATACCATATACATGAGAGTAAATGGGCAAATGTTCTACATTTTATACTACATCTAATAATTATTATTATTTAGACTAATAAAATAAGGATGTATACAATTAAACCGGATGATCGGTGTAAATTATTTTAAAGTGTTCATAATCAGATTACAGTCACTTTATATAGATTATGTGTGTGTGTGTGTGTTTGGGTGTGTGAATGAGTGAGAGTGTGAGTGTGTGTGCGAGAGTGTGTGTGTGTGAGAGTGTGTGAGTGTGTGTGTGAATGAGTGAGAGTGTGAGTGTGTGTGCGAGAGTGTGTGTGTGTGAGAGTGTGTGAGTGTGTGTGTGAATGAGTGAGAGTGTGAGTGTGTGTGCGAGAGTGTGTGTGTGTGAGAGTGTGTGAGTGTGTGTGTGAATGAGTGAGAGTGTGAGTGTGTGTGCGAGAGTGTGTGTGTGTGAGAGTGTGTGAGTGTGTGTGTGAATGAGTGAGAGTGTGAGTGTGTGTGCGAGAGTGTGTGTGTGTGAGAGTGTGTGAGTGTGTGTGTGAATGAGTGAGAGTGTGAGTGTGTGTGCGAGAGTGTGTGTGTGTGAGAGTGTGTGAGTGTGTGTGTGAATGAGTGAGAGTGTGAGTGTGTGTGCGAGAGTGTGTGTGTGTGAGAGTGTGTGAGTGTGTGTGTGAATGAGTGAGAGTGTGAGTGTGTGTGCGAGAGTGTGTGTGTGTGAGAGTGTGTGAGTGTGTGTGTGAATGAGTGAGAGTGTGAGTGTGTGTGCGAGAGTGTGTGTGTGTGAGAGTGTGTGAGTGTGTGTGTGAATGAGTGAGAGTGTGAGTGTGTGTGCGAGAGTGTGTGTGTGTGAGAGTGTGTGAGTGTGTGTGTGAATGAGTGAGAGTGTGAGTGTGTGTGCGAGAGTGTGTGTGTGTGAGAGTGTGTGAGTGTGTGTGTGAATGAGTGAGAGTGTGAGTGTGTGTGCGAGAGTGTGTGTGTGTGAGAGTGTGTGAGTGTGTGTGTGAATGAGTGAGAGTGTGAGTGTGTGTGCGAGAGTGTGTGTGTGTGAGAGTGTGTGAGTGTGTGTGTGAATGAGTGAGAGTGTGAGTGTGTGTGCGAGAGTGTGTGTGTGTGAGAGTGTGTGAGTGTGTGTGTGAATGAGTGAGAGTGTGAGTGTGTGTGCGAGAGTGTGTGTGTGTGAGAGTGTGTGAGTGTGTGTGTGAATGAGTGAGAGTGTGAGTGTGTGTGCGAGAGTGTGTGTGTGTGAGAGTGTGTGAGTGTGTGTGTGAATGAGTGAGAGTGTGAGTGTGTGTGCGAGAGTGTGTGTGTGTGAGAGTGTGTGAGTGTGTGTGTGAATGAGTGAGAGTGTGAGTGTGTGTGCGAGAGTGTGTGTGTGTGAGAGTGTGTGAGTGTGTGTGTGAATGAGTGAGAGTGTGAGTGTGTGTGCGAGAGTGTGTGTGTGTGAGAGTGTGTGAGTGTGTGTGTGAATGAGTGAGAGTGTGAGTGTGTGTGCGAGAGTGTGTGTGTGTGAGAGTGTGTGAGTGTGTGTGTGAATGAGTGAGAGTGTGAGTGTGTGTGCGAGAGTGTGTGTGTGTGAGAGTGTGTGAGTGTGTGTGTGAATGAGTGAGAGTGTGAGTGTGTGTGCGAGAGTGTGTGTGTGTGAGAGTGTGTGAGTGTGTGTGTGAATGAGTGAGAGTGTGAGTGTGTGTGCGAGAGTGTGTGTGTGTGAGAGTGTGTGAGTGTGTGTGTGAATGAGTGAGAGTGTGAGTGTGTGTGCGAGAGTGTGTGTGTGTGAGAGTGTGTGAGTGTGTGTGTGAATGAGTGAGAGTGTGAGTGTGTGTGCGAGAGTGTGTGTGTGTGAGAGTGTGTGAGTGTGTGTGTGAATGAGTGAGAGTGTGAGTGTGTGTGCGAGAGTGTGTGTGTGTGAGAGTGTGTGAGTGTGTGTGTGAATGAGTGAGAGTGTGAGTGTGTGTGCGAGAGTGTGTGTGTGTGAGAGTGTGTGAGTGTGTGTGTGAATGAGTGAGAGTGTGAGTGTGTGTGCGAGAGTGTGTGTGTGTGAGAGTGTGTGAGTGTGTGTGTGAATGAGTGAGAGTGTGAGTGTGTGTGCGAGAGTGTGTGTGTGTGAGAGTGTGTGAGTGTGTGTGTGAATGAGTGAGAGTGTGAGTGTGTGTGCGAGAGTGTGTGTGTGTGAGAGTGTGTGAGTGTGTGTGTGAATGAGTGAGAGTGTGAGTGTGTGTGCGAGAGTGTGTGTGTGTGAGAGTGTGTGAGTGTGTGTGTGAATGAGTGAGAGTGTGAGTGTGTGTGCGAGAGTGTGTGTGTGTGAGAGTGTGTGAGTGTGTGTGTGAATGAGTGAGAGTGTGAGTGTGTGTGCGAGAGTGTGTGTGTGTGAGAGTGTGTGAGTGTGTGTGTGAATGAGTGAGAGTGTGAGTGTGTGTGCGAGAGTGTGTGTGTGTGAGAGTGTGTGAGTGTGTGTGTGAATGAGTGAGAGTGTGAGTGTGTGTGCGAGAGTGTGTGTGTGTGAGAGTGTGTGAGTGTGTGTGTGAATGAGTGAGAGTGTGAGTGTGTGTGCGAGAGTGTGTGTGTGTGAGAGTGTGTGAGTGTGTGTGTGAATGAGTGAGAGTGTGAGTGTGTGTGCGAGAGTGTGTGTGTGTGAGAGTGTGTGAGTGTGTGTGTGAATGAGTGAGAGTGTGAGTGTGTGTGCGAGAGTGTGTGTGTGTGAGAGTGTGTGAGTGTGTGTGTGAATGAGTGAGAGTGTGAGTGTGTGTGCGAGAGTGTGTGTGTGTGAGAGTGTGTGAGTGTGTGTGTGAATGAGTGAGAGTGTGAGTGTGTGTGCGAGAGTGTGTGTGTGTGAGAGTGTGTGAGTGTGTGTGTGAATGAGTGAGTGTGAGTGTGTGTGTGTGAATGAGTGAGAGTGTGTGTGCTTGTGTGAATTTATAAACCTCCCAAATTAAGTAGCATTACAAAAATTTACGGACTAAGCAAATGAACTAATGTTTTATCAAGTCGTTTATTCCCTTTTTATATTTTTCTAGTTACATTGATTTCTATTGTTTTTTTTATTATTTCTGAAGATCATGTGACACTGAAGACTGGAGCAATGATGCTGAAAATTCAGCTTTGATCACAGAAATAAATTACAGTTAACATTCACAGAGAACTGCTGTTTTAAATAGTAAAAATATTTCACAATATTACTGCTTTTGCTGTATTTCTGATCAAATAAATGCAGGCTCGGTGAGCAGAAGAGACTTCTTTAAAAAACAAAAAATCCTACTGTTCAAAAACGTTTGGCTGGTAGTGTATACTCAGATGACGGTATTTAGTTTACTGTAATATAGTTTGTTACTAGACAAAATGCACACAGAAACAGTGCTATAGATAGTATACTGTTGTACACGGCACAATCCAAACAGAAGCAAACCACTCAGTCAGAAAGTTAGGATGTCAATCTCTTTATTATGAAACCAAGTCAAAATAAAAAACATCTTCATGTCACGTTTCTCTCTGAAAACAGGATCACACTGAGGAGCAGAGATGAGATGAAGTCTTCCATACAAATGTCAATCTCAGCGAACACAACTAAACCGCCAGAAGCACTAAACCAACTCAGCTCATTAAAAACGCACTTGCACTTAGACGGAAAAATGCAAAAAACAAAATATAACACACACACACGCACTGTGTGACTGGAGACGGGATGAATGTTGAAGCTGAAGGAGCAGTAGAAACAGCCGGAAGGCTCCGTTATGTTGGAGGCGGTGGGTAGTACTGGTTATACTGACCGTACTGACCCCAGGAGTTCTGACCGCCCCACGAGTTATACTGCTGAACACAGAAAACACACAGAGTCACATACGAGACCCTGGAGCACACAATCAGTCATAAGGGTCAATTTTGTGAAATTGAGATTTATGCATCATAAATAAATGAGCTTCCATTGATGTATGGTTTGTTAGGATCGGACAATATTTGGCTGAGATACAACTATTTGAAAATCTGGAATCTGAGGGTGCAAAAAAATCTAAATATTGAGAAAATCATCTTTAAAGTTGTTCAAATGAAGTTCTTAGCAATGCATATTACTAATCAAAAATTAAGTTTTGATATATTTACAGTAGGAAACTTACAAAATATCTTCATGGAACATGATCTTCACTTAATATCCTAATGATTTTTGTAGCAATGCATATTACTAATCAAAAATTAAGTTTTGATATATTTACGGTAGGAAACTTACAAAATATCTTCATGGAACATGATCTTTACTTAATATCCTAATGATTTTTGGCATAAAAGAAAAATGGATAATTTTGACCCATACAATGTATTGTTGGCTATTGCTACAAATCAAGAGTTAATTTGCAAAAACCGATAACTCTCAGAAATCACGTTTTTTTTATTGCGCATTCCAAGTAACATCGATCAAACTGCAGTTGGGTTGTTTTGATTAGGTAATAATAACTTAAACAAATACAGGTAATTTACAAAATTAAAAGTTCAATGAAAGTGTTTTTTTTTAACATATTAAAAGTTTGTTTTATGGCAAAAGCAGATAACTCCACAATTTCATGTTTTAGAGTTTAAAACACACTGGATTAATCTTTGTAATCATCTCCGATGACAGTGTAGACGCCTGACAAACGTTGTTGTTGTTGTGATCATAAACTGTATGGATGTGATTACACAGAGCTTTCCCTCATCATTGTAACGCGCTGCTTTCACAAGCTTCCGTGGAAACCTTTCAGCTTTTATTTTCCTTTTTCGCCCTGAAGAAGATATCACAGGTTCATCAAAGTTCGTCGAAATTATCCTTCCTCGATCACTTTTGAACGCAGCGGCTAGAATGGACTTATCGGCTTCTGTTCAAAAACAACAAGAGCGCTTGTCGGCTTCTGCAGCTTCTGCAGAACTCACGATGCCTTGAGAAAGTGGACAAAACCGGCTTTTTTGATAAAACGTGTTTAGGGTTCAGATCGCGCTATATGTGGAGAATAATGCACGGCAATCAGCTCTTTTTTTTTT